GGAGGGAGAGAGGAGGGAAAGAGATGGGGAGGAGGGAAAAGACACAGGGAAAGGGGGGAGTGAGAGAGATGGGGAGGAGGGGAGAGACACAGGGAAAGGGGGGAGGGAGAGAGGAGGGGAGAGACACAGGGAAAGGGGGGAGGGAGAGAGGAGGGGAGAGACACAGGGAAAGGGGGTAGGGAGAGAGGAGGGGAGAGACACAGGGAAAGGGGGAGGGAGAGAGATGAGGAGGAGGGGAGAGACACAGGGAAAAGGGGGAGGGAGAGAGGAGGGGAGAGACACAGGGAAAGGGGGGAGGGAGAGAGATGAGGAGGAGGGGAGATACACAGCGAAAGGTGGGAGGGAGAGACAAAGAGGGAGAAATGAGAGAGACACACAAGTGGAGGGGGAGAAAGAGGAAGAGGGGGAAGAGAGAGACTGTAAGGAGAGGGGAGACATTGACACAGAGGAGCAGTGAGGGGGAGAAAGAAACATACAGAGTGACTGGGGGAGACAAAAAGGCACACAGAGGGGCTGGAGATAAAGAGACACACAGAGGGGCAGTATATATCACTGGTGGATGGGGGGGCAACGGGGCAATTTCCGACACTCCTGGCACCATAACCACTACACAGAGGAGTAGTGGTTATTGTGCATGGAATATTTCTTTAAATAATCTACAAGTGCCCCTCCCGGGCTCAGGCTCTGGATTCGCCACTGGTATATGACATGTATATTAATGTGTATATTAGTTATATATATATATATATATATATATTATATTTACACATATTAATGTACATTTATATATGCATAATACACAGAGAAATTTCATTAATATGTACCATATGTAATGAGCAGATATTGGCCCAGTCTTGTTGCTAGGTGCATACTCCAGCACAATAACATATTTAAAGTGAAGAGCACACTCACAGGACTTCAAAATAGACCTTTTTTACAGTTGTGCCTTACATACATTCACCATTTCAGTCCCATTAACAAGCTTTCCTTAATATGTCAAGGTAGTTGGACGAAAACATTGATTACATGCAAAGGCACGTCTGCTTAAAATAAATCTGCACTTTTGTTTATTTTGAAGCCTATGAGTGCGCTTTTTACATTGAAGTACTTTTTAATTTTAATTTATCTGTTCTAACTCTGTATCTGCACACTATGCTGGCGCGACACATTATGGGGCTGGTAAATATTTTTTTTCCAGGGCTGCTTTTAATTCCCAGTCCGCCCTGCCTCCAGCTCACACAACCTGCATGAAAAAAGTGTAATTTCCAATTAGATGATAACTTGCTTTTGATATTTTTATTTCTTGCGCTTTAAATTGAAATGTAATCACACACAAGAGGTTTCTGTAAGGTCTCGCAAACTATTTTTTTAAAATAAATTCTTTATTTTTGGTATTTTGGGTTTTACAGAGAAGGATAATAATGCTTTACATTTGTGTTAGTTTGGTTGTACAGAAAGGGAAGGTCATACTTCCCACAACAATGCATAGTTTCTTGTGCTGCGTGTTGAGATAATCAGTGATTCCGTGCGGGTCGTTGTCAGCATTCTGGAGGAGGCCTCCTGTTGGCCTTTCATGGAGTCTGGGCACCAATTCCATTGGGGTTGGGAGGTGTGGGTCCCCTGGCATTGGACATTCTACCCTTCCTGATCGAGCGGTGCATTGTGTTGTGAGTGGTCACTGCTGTTCGGAGGGCACGGAGCCTTTGGAATATCCTGCTGGATAGGGTATCCCGTGGTCTCTTTTGGTTTATATTGCTGTGGGTGATGACCATGGGGGAATGGGGAAATGTGGGTGGAGCAGCGACAGCTTGGTTGACCCCGCAAGGGCACAGGGGACAAGTTCAGATTTCCCCTGTTCCAGTGGGGGGGATGAGAAGAGGGGAAGGAGAGTGCTGTTGGTCCGGCAAGTGCATTGTTTCTGGGGTCCCTGTTTGGTACATTCACTTTGCTGGGTTGTTATTATTATGATATTTTATTATTATGATATTTATAGAGCGCCGTCAAATTTCGCAGCGCTTTACAATGGGTGGATGAACAGACATGTAGTTGTAACCAGACAAGTTGGACACACAGGAACAGAGGGGTTGAGGGCCCTGCTCAATGAGCTTACATGAGATGTCTCTCTGGTCAAAGTTGACAAAGTGCTTTGGGGTTAGATCGGACGGGAAGAGTTTGTTACGGTAGATTGGTGTGACTGGGTAGAGAAAGAAGGAAAGGTCATATTTTGAGTTCAGTTTGTCCCATAGGGCTAGCGTATGGGTAATTGCCAGTGAGGTGGGCAGTGGTAGCAGTCTGTGTGTTGTGGGTGCCCATATGTAGGAGGACAGTTGGTCACAACGCAAGATGTCATGCTCGAGGTCGACCCATTGTTTGGCTCCTGGAGGAGCATGCCATTATGGAGATAAGCCAGTGGGGCCGCGTGGTAATATTGGTAAAAGTTGGGTAGCCCGAGTCCACCCTGTGATTTTGGGCCTGTAACAGAGCTTCCTGTACCCGGTTGGGTACCTCCGCTGACGGATGCTCCTAGTGCTTACCGAGGGTTCCAAGTACTTCTCCAGACACCATAAGTACTGCAGACCCCACGAACCGCCGCAGCTTGGTTGGGGTCTTGCCATCTCCTACCCACCCTGGACCTATGACAAGGCTCCAGGTTCCAGTGGGTGAACCTCTCTTCCTCCAGAGAGCGAACTAGGAACAGCTCTTACAAGAGCTAGTGACTATCCAAGGGAGTATAGTGATTATATCCCTTGTAGCAGTTTCCCCCAATAAGAGACAAGACTCTAGATTGAGGGTAAAATAAGAACTTAGCAGATCTGATTATGGAACAGCTTGGTCTTTTATACAGTTTTCCCCACAAGGTTACCACCCAGGTGGACCTTGTGGGGCACAGGGACACAGGAACAACAAGCCAATAAAAACATAGTTTTACATTCAGTCACTCCCATAGTGTACACAATCCCTCCCCTCTGCCTGCGATATAATTAACGAAGACAATGGACTAACTCAATTAACTCTAAGCAGAAAAAAACATAAATTTTTACAAACCCCAAAAAGTACCAAAATACAACATATCCCGACATATTACATCCTCTGAAGAAGAAATTTACTTATATTCTTTAGAGCAAGACTTGTTCTAGTTAAAACAGCATGGGTGGTATAACCCCCACCTTGGGATGTAGATGGTATCAGGAATCAAGCCAAAAATAAATAGTACAAATAAAAAAGTAGCTATTTATTGAAATGAATATATTGACAATAAAATGAATACAAAATAAAAGAATAAGTCCCACTTGACGCTTTTCGACGATCCAAAGGGCTTTTTCAAAAGACACTTTTCTTATTTTTTTTGTATTATCAAAATAGCTTGATTCTTGACACCATCTATATCCCAAGGTGGGGATTATACCACCCATGCTGTTTTAACTAGAGCAAGTCTTGCTCTAAAGAATGTAAGTACATTTCTTCTTTTTATCTATTCTATATATCAGCACCATTGGAGTTTCTTTTGTTCTTTGTACCTGCTATATATACCATTGGCACCTGGAGGACCAACAACACTTCAACCACCATACATCATTAGACGGGGATTGTACCGTCCATGCGCTATACAGCAGAGCTCCAATTAGCTCTAATATATGTGCGTGGTTTTCTTTTAGCGACTACCTATTCCATTTAAACTGTATCATGTTGTATTGCACTATTATTTGTCTTCTTTTTTCCCCTGAGGTTTACTGCATTTCCCTGAGGTTTATGTATGTATGAATTTTAAGGCGCAGTATACATCACACTTTATTTTCGTTTATATATCACACAAGGTTTTTGGGCATCCTTGCATTGTATTCCGCAGCTTGCATTATAATATAGTAAACGCCTATACCCCTTGTTTTTTATATATCTCAGTAAGCTCGTTACGGAGCAAGCTTGCTGTCCAAATAGCACGCTGATGGGAGAATCAGCACTAAAGTTACAGCATGTTGAAGTTTTACCGGGTCGCAAATTTTCTATGATCCAGCGAGGAGTTCCCAATGATGC